CTAATAGTTTTCCTAAGGGTAGTGATCACACGGCTTAATCATGCTTATGGCTAGCACCTATCAACACTTAGTAGTACAGAGGTGCGCCGGCAGGTTCTGGTGGCAATCCAGAACAGGGCGGAGTGAGCTCACATCCGGTTCCTACCCAATTAGTGATCGAATCACTAAGAAAACAACCAGCGATGAAACTGCACGAGTGGGCACATCCCACGATGTTACTTATAAATACCACCAATCTCGCTATGCACTTGCGTACTCACTGCTGCTACCGCAATCCACGTCTAATGCATATTCACTCCGCATGCGCCAACTGTAATTAAGCAAAGGCGAAGAAAATGCCTGCGATTGTGCCGAAGGGGATAAGTGGAAATTCAATTTCGTATCATAAACTTATTTTTGATTGGTTTAATCATTGGTGCTTTTACTTCAGACCCTTTGCTAGTAGAGGATGCACTCCTCAAGTCAAACCGAGACTCATGGTTGTTATAACGTGCTCAAAGGTGGTTCTTTCCTGATCAAAATGCTTAACGTGTGCAAACGTGATTGAGGGGAGGCAGGGAGGCTATAAGCCAGAGCTAAAGCTTCGCGAAATCGCGACGAAGGGGTCTTATATGGCATGAAGGTAGAGGGGATAGGGTCGTAAATGCAGGTGTCACTACTGAGTGAAGCTGTAGCAAAACTATCGAAGCTGCTTCGCGCATGGCAGTTTTCATGCTTTTTTCTTCACTATCGACTTACCATGATGCAAACCGTGATCCATATCTGTGATGGCGAATGATCGCGACCTTTGCCTTCAATAATGAACTGCAGTCGAATCGACCCGTCGACAAAGCAGAAGTGGCTAATGTTGCGGCCAGATCTTCTTCGATTTCAGCCAGAGGACCTACTGAAGAGGCATCGTTCCATGGCAAAGAAGACCTAGCGTAACGAGCTGACCTAAAAAATTTTCGCAGCACGTTGGTTGTCCAAAATGTTCCGTGCATGGTCGCAGAAAGTGTTGCACATTGCGGAGAGGTGTCAGTTTTTTTGGAAAAAAGTAAGAAGAGCTTTATGTGGAGACACGAGTCTCCCTAGCAGAGGGACTAACGGAAACGTCCTGAATTTACAAGACCAGCTGAGGTCCGCTTTCGCTCTCGAGCAGCTGACGTTATGGCGACCATAGGATGGGGAATGTGAAAAGTGTTCGTGCTTCGCTTGGAATCTAGCGATTGCAACTGAACACGGATTAGGGATTTTCTATGGAATGGAGGTGGTGTTCTGCTACAGGCTTGGCAATCCTTACTTTTGTCTCGACAAAAAACCTGACTATGGCCAATGAAAAGAACAGAAATAATGAAGCACAAATGCAGCATTTCGTGTGGGCATACCCGAAGTTTTACGAGAGTTATTTTCAGGACGCGCTGACACTTGGCCTCACGGTAACAAAGTTGCTACGCAGCAGTACTGCCTGTCGTCCATTGTTCGTAAATGAATATGTTTTATCGAGAGAACATGCTATAGGGGACGGTTTGTTTATCAGTTCACATCAATTCCTTTCTACACTAGTCACAGGAGAACGACCGTTCAATAATCGGCAATTCGTCATACATTCGTGTTCATAATCGCTTCTCATTCGCTCATTAATGGTGATGCTTTATAGATGATGCCTACTAATAGCTTATCGATAGTGATGCTTTCCAGGTGATGCTTATGTGTATAGACATTTCCAGAACGTTCACGATGTGTTCGGAGTAGAGGTGTTATTCCAAGCTGGAGTTCAGGTCTCAGCAGTCTACCGATGCCACTTTTCCTACTAAAATTTCTAAAGTTCACCACTAGAGCAGTCTTTTCAGTGACGAATTTCCTCGTTTTCAGAATATTAGAGAAAATGCGCTGGTCATGCTTATAGCGCAGTCTCTCTACGAACCAGGATTCACGCAACTGAGGACTGTTGAACAACTTGGTAAACGTTTTCAACCCCAGTTACTTTCTTTTTTGCATTTTCTCAGTTTACATAGTTATAAGACGAGATTCGCTCTACTTACCCTTTGCTGCACCCAGCCCCCCCCCCTCACCTCAATTCTCTAAACTAAGTTCAGCTTTTTTACCAGCTTCTTCTCCGAGAAGAGATGTGGGTGGAACATTCCCCTTTGAATGGAAACAGCACTTTACAGTGAGAACGTCCAGTACAAAAATTTTCCTGGCTTTCCAGGAATCATTTAGCGTCTCATCCTCTACTACAGCTGCACCAAATAGGCAGCTCAACAGAGTAGATGACTCAGGGGATCAGGGGTGTTGAATGATAGCCCTCGCCGTTTAGCAACCCTTTTTCGGTGTGCGGCACGCGTTCTACTTCCATTCAGGATCGTAGTGGCTTACTGAATGCGGTGAGGCCTATACAATGAATTGCGAGAGCCAGTCGATGTTCAAGTCAGTGTTCTTATCCTATGAGTCTCTTGCCTATTTACCGTTCCCGGAGGGTAGAAAACTTGGTTTACCTTGGCTGAAGTGGACACTGGATTGATTCCCAGCCTCGCGCGAATGATGAGCGAGCCACTTGCCACTGCACCTAGTGGATCAGAGGTAGGGAGTGCAATTGTTGTAGCCGGTTGATCCAAACCTTCATCAGTTCTTTTGACATTGTCACTCAGATTATGAAGAAAACAGCCTTTTAGTTATGCTTTGATGCAAATACAATAGCACTTTCCTATTCTGCTTTATCTATTTGAACGATACTTCATTGTTTAGGGTACATAGTTTCGATTGAGCCAAGGCAGAATGCAGGGACAATAGCTCTAGTGTTCGTTATTCAAGGTCCTGGAAGTGCCGATCACGCCTCTTGGGAGAATAGAGGCTTTCCTCGAGAAGATAGGGGTGAGTGTTACTATCATCGATAGTTTTTATTGTTGAAAGTCTGAAATTGCTTGTATGAATATGTAATCAGGTGGGGCTTCAGAAGTCTAGCGTACCAGGGAACTTCTCGGGCCACATCAGCATGGAGTCTGCGTTGTGGCGACGAGCACTGAGTCTGTAGTTATCACTTTCTAGGCAGTTGAATCGGCTCATTATGTGCAGCTGCAATTGCATGTTGACAAACTTGAGCTCAGACGTGTCTATGTATATACGGGGGGGGGGCAAAAAAAGTCACTTCGACCGAGTCACATAGCAAAGTTTTCGCTGCCCAGACAGAGGACGTGGATACGAGTACCAGGGCGGAAGATACCCAAGATGTTCCTCTATAAGCAGGAGCTGGCTCTCGCCCATCACCTTCATGTACACCAAAATATGAAGTCATCTCCAGTCGCAGCCTGACCTGGAGACCAGTACTCTCGATCTGGAGACCTCCAACATCGAGCAGCTCCGACAACGTCGCCACGGTCTAGGACATCATCTTCACCGCAGTCGCCAAGGCGCGGGTTGATGGTATGGACCGGACGTACCTGGAATGGAAAGACCAATATTTTCTTCGTGGACCCCGGACTGAAGGTGAGCGCTGGCGTTACATTGAGCAACTCGTGAAGAATATCCTCCTCACATGTCGTCGCCCGTACCTTCTTGGAAACTTTGTACTGCTATAGCATTGAG